CTCCCTGCAATTTCACTTTAAGAGATAATTTCTTTTTAAGGGGTTTGTGTGTGCCTATTCTTAAAATGTTCCGGCGTGTTGCACAGAACCCCACCCTGTTTTGACTGGGCACCCTGGTACCTTTCAGATTCAATTCTTCCTTCGGTTGTACCTTCTGTCGACCCAGGCAGACTGCAGCGATGTGGCCTTTCTTTCCGCATGCTCGGTAGAGGGCGGAACGGAACTGACATTCCGCTCGCTTGTGGTGTCCACCACATCCGAGGCAACGAAGCTCAGCTGGGCCCTTGTCCTGACGATCTTTGGACCTCCTCCCAGCTGCTTGGTAAAGCTTGTCCACCTCTTCTTCAGGATCTTCTTCCGAATCCTCTCGCACGTCTTCCTTGTGGATGGTGGCGGTCTCTTGAGCGCTTCGCTTAGGCCGCATGTTCTTGACCGCCCCACCTGCAGCTTCTTCTGCTGAAACCTCTTGCAGAGCATCTTGGAAAGAGACGTCTTCCCTGGCGAACAGCCTCTGTTGTAAGTCTGTATTCCTTAGTCCGCACACAAAACGATCACGCAGTCTTTCCTCTAAGTCCTTGAAATCACACGGTTTAGCTGCTCTTCTCAAGGCCGCAACGAATTCTTTTGCTGATTCCCCAGCTCGCTGATTTTTCTGTTGAAATGTGTACCTCCAAGCCATGACAGATTGCTTGGGCTGGGAGTGTTCCTTTAAAACTTTCTTCAGATCGGAGTATGACACCGTTTCCAGCGAGTCCGGGGCGATTAGGCTCTCGGCGATCTCAAAGGCATCTTGCCCACAAACGCACAACAACGTGGCAGCCTTTAAGCCTTCCTCCCTTATCTGGTTTATGCGGAAATACGTCTCAACTCTTGCAACATAAGATTCCCACCTCTCGGGTTGAGAGACGTCGAATTCCGCTAAACGCCCAACTTTCGCCATGATCGAGGATCAGGGTCTTCTTCTTCAGCCGCACGCACCCTCCAGCGATTTCATACTGGCAGGATAACGCTGACTTCCACGCCGTTTTTTTCTTCCGGACTTCTTTGGGTGAGTCTTCAAGCTTCCCTAGCTGTATAGACTAAATCCCACCTTCGTCACCAGTGTTAAGTCTGGAGAATAATGGCGCTTGAGACGAAGCATTTCTAACAAGTCTTTATTCTCTGCTTCCAATCTATGAACAACCCGAGCAGAGGCACGCAGGCCTCTATTTATACCTTCTGATCCCCGGGCAAATCCAACCAATGACAAGGCAGTCTTTTCCCGCCTTGCGCATGCGCGCAAGGCCGGCGCCACTCAGTCTGGTCCCGGGCAGCTTTTGCAAATGCCCGGGACTCTTGCAACGTCCCGAGCCTGCTCTTGCAGGCTCAGGACACAACACCCCTCCCCCCTAGATGAAATAATACGGCGCCCACATGGACGCCATCATAG